CGAATTTGGAATCTACGCACCCGATTTACCCGGAAAACAAGTTTCCATCTCGATCATAGACGCGCAAGGGTTTTTAGAAATTTTTTATTAGTCGTTTTTTGACAAAGTTGAATTCTTGCCAGTATCTTGAAAAGGAGGCATTTTCGGACGGAATGGGCCATGGATTCGGTTCCAGCGACCCAAAAAGCGTATTATAAGATATGTTGCGTTCAAGTTCCCGACTGACCCATTTTGTGAATTTTTGGTAAGAATACCCATATATGCATGGTCATTAAATGTTAAAATGCTTTAAATGCGGTTCAAATGACCCTTATTCCACGTATTTTGGGCTGCCCATATCGAATCCGAGGTCGTTTTATAACTGCCGATATTGGTCCGATTCTAATCCCAGAATTTATCATGAGGTTCATACACAGCAGCCACAAAAATTAAATGTTTGGGCTGGTATTTTTGGCATTACGTGTTCGACAATATTAAGATCAGACGTTTCCAGATCGATGGATTGGCAGAAGAGGTGCCATTGAATGGCCCCCAAGATCGCCAGATTTATCACTCTTGGATTTCTTTATGTGGAGCCATTAAAAAGGTAAAATATATGCTACTCAGTCAATATCATTAGAAGACCTGCGACAAACAATTGTGATTGAGTGCCTTCAAATTGCTCCTCAAATATTGCAAAATGTGCGGCAACATTTTGAGCAAAATCTTTATTATTGCATCGAGAGTCATGGTGGCCATTTTCAACATTTACTTGCCTAACGGGTCAGTTCATTCTTCATTTTTAAATTACTTTGCTGCCGAATGTATTGATCTCCAGTAATGATGATGTATTAGTTTTATTTAAGCTTTAAATCAATAAATCTTCAAAACTACTGAACTGAAGTACATTAATTTTATATCATTATAAAGGGAATTTAAAGACCTCTAAAATAACGTATCACTCGACCCCCCTTTCCATTTAAGATTTTTGGGGTGGTGTCACCCCCGCTTAGGGGGCTGCGCATGCTAACGTGATTTTTTGCCAAACTTGTGTCCCCCTCGAAACCACAATCAACGGGTCTGAGCGTTTAAAAAAAAATGAGCTGCCCGTAAATGCGTCTGTTTCGTTTTCGATGCGCCACCCTGTATAGGGTGTAGAAGATTCAAGGTTTGAATTGGTTGAAGATGGATTCACTGTTTGTGTATGATATGTGTTTATCCATGAAGTAGTTCGCACTAAAGAGTCACCGTTATTTATTAACGCTGGTAGCAGGAGGTAACATTAATGACAGAACCAAAATTTTGCGATGCCAGTCCTCTACTTAGCCCTTTTCTAAAAAAGCTTTACCTTTTACGCTGTCAGGTTATATAATTTTACTGATCCAAACTATCGCAGTATACCTATAGTACTTTTCAGGAGACTTGTTAAGAGACAGCCGATGGAATAATAATAATAATAATAATAATATTTATTTACTCAATGTACAAAGATAACAAACAATATGAGTAAATAAATATAAAATCAAAACAGGCCCAATAGAAGGCATCGCCTGTACATGGACCAATAATTTAAGTTGAAACTGTAGAATGCAAATGACAAAAAAGGACAAAAATTAGCTACAGTAGATTCTGTATTTAGTTGATGTTCCTATTTATGAGTTTATGAATTTCAGTCCTAGATATAGAATGTAGCCACTTTTTTAAATTTCTTTTGAAACAATTTCCGAAACGTAAATCTTTTAAGTCTTTAGGTATAATTTCATAAAATTTAGGCGCTAAATAGAGATATGAACGCTGCATTCTAGATTTATGCGGTTGAGGAACTACTGTGCCACGAATTTTGTACCTGGTATAATGATTATGTTTAATTTTTTGGTCGATGTTTACAAATTTATGGTAGTGAGTGATACTGTGTAAGAAATAAAGCTGTCTTATATCATACATTCGAACATCTGCGTATAATTTTTCAGTGGGATAAAGTTTCGGTTTTTTAAATATCATTTTTAGAATACTTTTTTGAAAAACATCTAAATTATAGATATGTGAGGAACATGCAGCTCCCCATGCTAATATACCATATGTGAGATGAGGCTCAATCAGTGCATGGTATAATGTTCGAAGATATTTTTCTGTCAATATATTCCCAAGGTATTTAATTTTGTAGGATACAAATCTAACTTTCTTTAAAATATAATTGACATGGATGTCCCATTGTAAGTGAGGATCCAAGACCACTCCAAGGTATTTTATGTTGGGCACTCTATTAATTTGCATTTTTTGATCATTAATGTTGAAGGAGAAATTTGTGTAATTTGGCAGATGTCTAGCATAAGATCCAAATGGTAAAAAATGTGTTTTAGAGTAGCTAATGCTTAATTTTCTACTGTTAAACCACCGAATAATTTTGATAAAATCATTTTCAATTACATTTTTCAGATCAGACCAGTCAGTGCCTTCATATAATATTGCAGTATCATCTGCAAAACTAGTTATTTTGCCAACACAATTAATTTGGAAAATATCATTTAAATATATATTGAATAACAGCGGACCTAAGACAGTTCCTTGTGGGACACCACACTTAATATACATTTCTTTACTAAATGATCCGGATATCTGCACAGATTGTGGGCGATTTGACAAATAATTTTCAATCAGTGAGTACGCGTTTCCTCTGAAACCAATTCTCTCTAATGCTTCTAATAATAATTTGTGATTAACTGTATCGAAAGCTTTCTTTAAATCAACAAAAATGCAGATTGAAGGGATTCTGTTATCAATATTTTGATGTATTTGATTTACAATTTTAGTTATTGCGTCCAATGTAGCCTTCCCTTCTGTAAATCCATATTGATTTTCATTTAAAATTTTGTGAGGTATCGAATCATTCTAGTAGATAAAACTTTTTCAAAAACCTTTGCTACACTGGATATTATTGATATTGGTCTATAGTTGTTAACATCTGTTTTTGTTCCTAATTTATGTATCGGTATTATATTACCTTTTTTTAAAATTGAGGGATATATGCCAGATTCAAAGCATTTGCTGATTAGGTAAGTGAGTGGTTCTGTTATGTCCTCGGCTATAATTTTCAAATGCTCGCTTTTAATACCATCGAACCCAGGACTTTTCCGATTTTTTAAGGACATAACAGTGGTGTATAATTCACATTGTTCGACTTTATCCAAAATAAATGAGTTCAAAGTTCTTTTTGGAGGCTGAGTATTTTGTACATTTGCTTGTATATTACTTGCTAAATTTTCGCCTATGTCAGTAAAGAATTGTACAAATTCATCGCATATCTGTTGAGTATTTTTTAATACTGTTCCCGATGTTGTATTTAACTCAGTGACACACTCTTTACATTTTTTTTTCCCAGTAATCTCATCAATAGTTGTCCAAAGCCGCTTAGGATCATTTAAGTTATTATTCAATTTATTTAGGTAATGTTTTCGTTTGGTTTGCCTTGCAAGCTCTATAAATTTATTTTTATATTGGTTGTAACAGTCGGTATTCTCTGTAGTTGGCGTTAGTTTCATTACATTACATAGTCTTTCTTTTTCTATTGCCGATGTTATTAATCCTTTGGTAATCCAGGCATTTCTGCTTTTCTCTTTGTGACTAATTATTACTTTATTGGTACTAATATCTATTAGTTTTTTTATTTTCTCTATGAACAGTCCCGTTGCTTTGTCTATATTATTTATAGAGTATAATTGTTCCCAGGATTCTTGTTTGACATTTGATATTAGTTTTGAATTGTCGACAAAAAATTTGTAATTTTCCTGGTTGTTATTAACGGTAGGGATGTTAGAATGTTTTTCATTTGAAGATATCAGTAAAATAGTGGAGAAGAGGTCAGTAATATCGCTTTCTAGGATTATTCGTATACAAGTAATTTTGTTGGATAGGTCTTTCACAAAGCAGTGATCTATACATGTGCCACTGATGGACCTTGTAGGTAGGTTTATATAGGACAGAAATCCGTTACTTGATAGGATATTCAAGTATTCATTTGTGATGGGATCATTGTCCAAAATATTTATATTGACATCTCCCAAGAAAATATGTTGCTTTAAATGAACTTTATTTTGATTTTGAAAAAAAAATTCGATATTCTTCAAAAACTCGTGGGGTTCTGAACATGGCGGACGATAAATTGCAGATACCTCAATTTTGTTATGGTTAATTTGGATCATTATGTTTAAAATTTTGATTCCATCGGTGAAAGTGAATGTATCATGATTATATTGTAGCTCATTTCTTACAAAAACTATCACCCCATCGTTTTGGTTATAAGTGCCAAAGTTATACAGCGTGTCATATCCCTGCTGATTGAAGCAAGAAATATCAACCACTTGCCACGTTTCAGTTAAAACTATTAGATCAAAATTGTACCATATTTGGTCGAGTAGTATTTTTAAGTAATCAATGTTGTGTTTTATACTTCAAATTTAGTGTGATGTGAAACTGTTTAAACTATGCGTCTGTTAAATCGCTTTTTTCTGTATGTGAGTATTGTAAACACTATCTTTCCACTTTGTCTACTCACTTGCTTTTACTTCCTATGCCAAAACTAGCGAAGCATTATAATCGCAAAAAATTTCGAAACTGAGATATTACGTTTCTGGGATGCTATATGATATGTACATCACAAAAACCATGTCACTTCGTTGGTCTGTTTGTCTGTCAGACTGTCCGTTAATTTTATAACTTTGGAAGTACTGCTCGGATTTTGATGAAATTTTCATACAAGTTTACTACTATGCCAAGGATGAAAAAGCTTTGTACTTTTTGACTAGTGGCGGCGGAACTAGGGGCAAAAAAATAAAAATCGCCTTAACTTTTGAGAGGCTCTCGACCATTTTCGGAACATTATTTTATTATTTCCTTCTACTTTCTTTGTTACTTTTTCTTACACAGTGAAGTTAACTTTACGAGTAGTCCTTTGAGTTATTCATTATTATCATTTAACAGGTCTAGATGTTCCACTGGTCTCCAAATAAAACCACAGACGTATAGTGAGGATTTGCTAACGTTTCGGCTGCCTATTTGAGAGTATATAAAAACTTTTGCATCTACGAACACACGTAAACTTTAGAGAGCTGGGCCGTAATAACAATACGGCGATTCTTTCTCTCGCATGGGCGCTGACCGATGCAGAGGAAGGAATCTCTGCGTCGCGGGTGCGACTACCGAGAGCACCCAAGCAAGCAATTATCGTTGATAAATGTACCGGGGGACATTGCACATCACAGGGGGGTGATGCTACGACGTAGAAAGGGGGGCCAAGGCGAATCGTGGCATCCATGGGACTCTCTTACTATATATAGAAGAACATTTTGGGCACTAGTACGTCAGTTGCCTCCGTTCAGGACCAACATGAAGGTAATTGAACATCGGTTGTGGTTCTTATTGGGGATTTAGATCGTTTTTTTTTTGTGAGGTGCTAGCGGGTGTGTTACGGCGTTGTGAAAGTGTAAGAAAGTGAAAACAATACGCGGTGCTCTTCGGGCGAAGCATTTAAATTATCGAAATGCTCTCCAAAATTTCGGGAGCTTTTACACGCATTACTAGGAGCAATTAATTTTTTTTTCATTTCGAAAATAGGCTGCCGGGTGTAGGGTAACCGAAACGTCAATAACGTAATTAGTTCCACATGTGTGATTGGCTTATTGACCACTAGAGTATGTATTGCGCGGGATGAAGAAATTTTTATTCGCATCTAATACCGGTACACTACTTGATTTAATATCGAATATATAAGAAACGGTATTGGAAGTTTAGATATATATATATAGTTTTAAGACATTCAGATGCTTTGATTTGTCTATTTATATTATTGATTGCACAGTAAAGTAGTATCTTCGGACGCGCTGCCGCAGCTCAAACTTCTAGCTGCTAGGACATTTGCTAGATTCAATACATTGTTTTTTGAACCAGTGCAAACACAAACTTTGCTGTAAAATTTGCGATAAGAGTCATTCGCATGAGTTACAATGGCAGGTGCAATAATTGCACCTTAAATAACTGTCTGCAAGAGCATCTTTTTATTATTGGTTTTCTTTCCCTTGTTTTGGTGATTTTTGTTTTTCTGTCCTGTAAATAGAATTGTAAACGTGAAATCTTTAGAGGACGCCCTTTATATATAATCAACACATAACCTTTTTCAAAAATTGGTTTTATTTTGTTTTCAACTGACCCAGACGATTATAAGAGAAAATAAAACTAATGTGGTGCTTCTATTGTTTTTAAATTTTACAATTTTTGATTTTACTTTTTTTGTTAATATAATAATTAGCTCAACATGTACTTGTATACTCTATTCTCAACTTGAAACTAATACATCATGGTTTTAAAGTATCATATATTCGTGAATACATCTATTTAGAAAATACCTTGTTGTTGTAACTGGTCATATTCAAATAGAGCGAATATCGAAATTTGTGCCTGTGCCTTGTTTAAAAAGTTTTCAGATTTCATCGCATAATCCATGTACGAAGAAAAAATTCTGTACTTAGGCGAAAATACTAATTGCCAGTGGAATAACAAGTTACTTCACGGTTTTCGCTTTTTAATGTTGCGAAATATCATTATCATTTTAGGTTTTATAAAATTTCTCAGTTTTTCACTTTCAAATGAGATATTTACAAAAACCCCAAAAAATTACCCACTTTATAGATGCCCAAGTTCAAAGTCCGATTATTTTCAAACTTATATAAATATCTATGGTCTATCTAATAAGTGAATGCAAAATCGACATTGCCTAAAGCGAATCTCAAATTTTTTTCAGTTTTTCACTTTTAAATGACACGACGTCGGGCATATTTACAAAAAACACAAAGAAAATAACCCACTTCGCAAAAAAAGCTCTATCAATGCACAAGAAAAAGCCTGGATTGCTTTCAATCCTATATAAATATTTGTGATCCGACTAACAACACGGTTAATAAATTAAAAATCAACATATTACATGAATCAATTTTAAACTGTCAAGACCATGTTGTTCTAAATAAATATTTCTCACGTTAATTGTTATGGTTTACCTAATAATTTTCTCTACTTTCAGGTATTCGTTTGTCTCTTAGCAGTGGTAGCTGTCTCACAAGGTTAGTAGCATTTATAACGTTAGAATTTTCTAATGTATAGTGTAATGTCTGAAATCGCCAATCTGATGACATGCATTTTAGCTAAGGCATTTTATAACGTACTTATCACCACAGTTAACTTGAATGCAGCCTTCTTTCAAAGTTCACTCCATAAAGTTGATTTTTATAATGCTGTCACTATACTATTATTTTAACACCTTTCCGCGTAATTGTTTGACATACGTACCTGTACTATGCGTTAGGAACTATACTGAGCAGTCGTCAGTGAGAGTAAATAAAACAGTACTATACTAAGTGACATATAAATCCGAACACCCAGTTTAAATGGTTTTATTTTAATAAAATTTTGTATAAGTACTTAATGAAGCATAAAATGATAAAAATTTCAAAATGATTGCACTGCTTTAAAGCCCTTTGACCTTTAATAATGTGTGGATGCACCCTGATGTGCTATGCATTCTCCGACGCGCCTAGGCATGCTTCTGATCAGGTGGTCAATGTGCTCCTGTGGTATCTCATTCCAGGCAACCACCAACTCCTCTCGAAGTGCTTCTAGAGTCTGAGGAGGATGTTGCAAATTGAGCAATCTCCTACCCATCATATCCCACACGTGCTCAATTGGGGATAAGTCGGGAGATCTTGGTGGCCATGGTAACAATGTGACATTATTATGTTGAAAGAAGTCTATTGTGACTCTTGCAACATGTAGTCGGGCATTATCTTGTTGGAAAGTTGGATCTGCCAGGGTGTCAAGATAGGGTAAAAGATGGGGTTCTAGAACTTCGTGGATATAACGCTGCGCGTTCATGTTACCTCTGATGAAGATTAAAGGTGACCTGGAACCATAAGCTATAGCACCCCAAACCATAACTCCAACAGTGTGATGAACATGTCTTTCAACAAAAAACTGTGGATTCCTCCTTTCACCACGTCGCCTTCTAACCCTGGCACGACCATCGTGCATGCCTAAACAAAATCGAGACTCGTCACTAAAGACAATACTGTTCCATTCCTGATCCCAGAGTGACCGTTGTCTGCACCACTCAAGGCGATTACGTTGGTGTTCTCGAGTTAAAGGGAGGACCCAGTGTGGCCGGTATGAAAACAAGCCAAAACTTCTCATTGGTCGGTAAACACTTCGCATGCCAATAGGTCTTCCGTGTTCTGCAAACCATCCATTTGCAATGGACCTGGTAGTGGAGAAACGGTCCCTTAAGGCCAATAATCTTAGGCGGCGATCTTCACGGTCTGTTGTTTTACGGCGGCATCCAGTGCCCCTTGCTCTTTGCGTACGGCCTTCTCGAAGCCATTCCTGACAACACCTAACCACAGTGTCTACACTTCTTTGCACTCTAACTGCAATTGCCCGAAAAGAAAGTCCAGCTTCCCGAAGTCCCACTATACGGCCCCTATCAAACTCACTATGTTGACGAAATCGTACAGGTCTCCGTACTCTAGGCATCGTAACCGATCGTAAAGGATGTCAAGAACCAAAATCCGCCAATGTTGATTCTTTACTGCGGCTGAAATATTCATTTTTAGAGCGTTAGTGAATTAAAAAAAAGCAGTATAAAAACCGGAATGTTCAACTGATAAGGCTGAACATTTTTTCACTTGTTATTTACAGTAAGATAAATACATTCACCAACTTTTATTAAAATAAAACCATTTAAACTGGGTGTTCGGATTTATATGTCACTTAGTATAATTCTTCTGGAGCGACAAACCTGCGCTTTTCTTCCCGTGCTCAAAACCGTTGGATAAAGAGTGTTGTCGCTTAACAAGTGATCAGAATTGGTAGAATATATAATATTCACGATAAATGGGCTACCTCGTATCCATAGCGTTTCTGATAATAAATAAATACAATAGTCGCAGAAAACGTGGTAAGCTGTCATCAAGTGTCATTACATGACTCGGTTGAATTTTGGGACATCATTTAGTTAGTGCTGCATTTATAAAAAATACCTTAAAACACGCCACTATGAATAGATTAGTTTCGATTTGAAATTTTGACAGATTAAACTCCACTTACAACAAACCATGAATGGATTTATGAATTTTGTTTTTTTTAAGATACTTCACTCCATAAATATGTATATAAGGGAGTACTAAATATATTTATTATCTATCCCAATTTCGATGGTAACTTCACCACGCTACTTAGATGCAAGTACTTCAACTGAATAAAGTTATTAAAAAACATGATGCAAATGAATTTCAGTAATTTACTTTTCTGTACAACAAGATTAATCTACGAAAATGAGTACTCTCCATTAACGCACTCCCGTAATTTAAAAATTTACTAGTTTCATAACGTGGCATTAAAACGCTACGAGTAATGCTCGAGGTTATCAGATGCTTTTATCATTTCAATTCCACAAAAGAGCAAGAGAAATCCGCAAGTGGGATTGAGATGTTTGGTTGTTAGCTGCGTTAATAAAGTAAACGATTCAACCTCAAGCTGGTGTATAAATGCCAAATGACGCTAAAGGCATTTCAGGCACTTTGAAAATGCATCGGTTCAAGCGATTCCTTTTCCTTTTAATCAATCCATCTCATTTGCCATAGATACTTAAGATGTCTATTCTGGGTTACCAGACCTGACAGACTTTCAAACTGACACTGTGACTCAAGAGCTAAGGTCCCACGGACCGCTCTGACAACCAACGATGACTTGATGTCTATTTCATCACCTGATCTTTTCACCAATAAGGCAGATCGAAGCGTCTTCTAACATACCAGAATCGACTACTGCACAAAGCGCATAGCTACTATCAGTTGGAACTGTTTGGGATCTCAGTTCACGTTTAATAGCCCGGTCAACACGTGACCGCTCGGTGGCTGACGATTCTGACTGTAAAATAGATGTGGTCTACTTGCCATTGGATAAACTGCGCTTTCCGCAGTGATCGATTCTGGTGTGATAGATGGCGCTTTGCACTGTCTTATTTCGATAGAACGTACCTTTAGCTTTAGTTGCGATGAGTTTTCGTTCGTTAGCTTATCTTTTAACTAATTGCAACAATAAGTTTGTACTCTTTCCATACCCTATTAATGATAGTAACTATGATATACTTTGACCATATATACTTTTTATATATTTGATTAATATAAAAAAAGCTATAATACTCTCAGCAAAATGAAGTATTCAGGACATTGTGACTACAAACGTATGAAAATGAGACGACAATATCAGATTTGAGATTTGAACACATTTTACTCTAAATTACGTAGAGCATTTTTTTATTCATACCTCAAACTGTTTATACTATAACTTAACCTTATGTAAAAATTTTATGAAAAATAATACATTTCAAGCTATAGAAGAACGAGAGTTTGCCGTGAGACACGCAGATATACCGACCGAAATAAATGACGCGATTTTGTGTGATTGACCTGCCTGTAACTTCGAAAGTACCTCTCGGAGTTTGACGAAATGTTGAAACAATGTTACTACGCCACTGACAAAAGGCGTTGTAGTTTTTGAAAATCCGTCCAGTAGCGGTGCAGCTGGAAGCCAAAACGAAATATGTAATAAAATACTCGCAAATTCCGTTCTTTGGCATTGTTGGGAACCCTGATCATTTTTTATTTCTTTGACCTTGTTAAAACTTAGAATGGTAGAGGACTGTTTTAAACGCGTCTCTTGTCTCGTACACCGGCATCACTGGTTCACTCATGAGCGGCGAGGTATGTGAGAGGAGCGAGGTTAGTCATAGCAACGTCGCCACATTGTCAGTACCTTCGGTTGGACAGGAACACATTTCTATAGGCTAGTTGTATAGGCCTGTTTTACTGATTTGGTTTTGTCTGATATATGTTTTCGTGACTACATTTATTCTTAGAGGGTCTAACTAGTGCTGAAAATATTCCCTTATAAACTGATGACAGCGTTGCTTGACAATTGCAGTGTTAATCTACTTGACGATTTTTTTTTATAGCCGGCTACCTGAGTGGTGGCGGTGGAGGCGGTTACGGAGGCGGAGGCGGCGGCTGGAAGAGTGGTGGCGGAGGCGGTTATGGAGGAGGCAGCAGTGGATGGATCAGTAGCGGAGGTGGGGGAGGCTATGGAGGCGGCGGTGGAGGATGGATCAGCAGCGGGGGCGGCGGCGGATGGAAATCTGGAGGTAAGGTTATGACTGAAAGTGAGGACAAGACACATCCACACATTTTTATCTGAGTTTGGTACAAGATATTTCTGATTAGAGGTCTACCCCACGCTTTTTTCCTATAACTGCATTTTTTATTAATATCTTAATTTTTATATTATTCTTAAACCAAATTAATTAGTCATGGTCGATTGTTGGTTGCAGAACACCAACTCTCCTATGCTTGAAAATAGGTTTCTACTTTTTAGTTCGATTTGCTATTAAATAGTGTTTTTTAAACTATAAATATTTTCCTAATTCTTAGTCTCAAAACGACAACAAAAGCGCTTATAATTCTATTCAAAATCTTCAAATTGTTTTTCAAATCTAAAATTCATTGCTTTCAAAAATCCCCAATTCTTTACATTTTAATAATTGAAATTTTTTCCAGATTTCAAAATTTCCAAATTTGTTTCAAAATATACAAATTCAACTATTTTCAAATCACTTTTTTCCAAATTTCAAAACTCAAATTATTCAAGAATTTTTGAAATTTGATTTTTGTATTGTCACCGACCCCTAGCCTCTATGCAAATTTTCAAGTTAATCAGACTTCTTCAAATTGTTGAAAGGTCATGTCCCTTTTTTTCAACTGCCTATGTGTATAGAGATGGCTAAAAATCAATGTCAACAATGTTTTTGTCAAAAGATGCATTTTTTGTGCATTTTTTTCTTCAACCGTAACTTGTTAACAAATCTCAGAACAGCTCTGAAATTGTATGTGAATATTCCACTTTTATGGAAGAATGAAACGGATTGACTTTTATTGACTTTCTTGAAACCTCATTTTGTATCAAATTGATTTTTTTTTGAAGAGAGAAAGCGATAAAAAATAATTTATCTTTAATCTCCTATAAAAAAGGAATATTCACATACAATTTTAGAGCTGTTATCAAGGAGATTGAAGGAAAAATGGATAACAGAATGCATTTTTTGACAAAAACGATATTTTTGTTCTTCAAACATCTCTAAATTCAGCATGAAACTATCATTAAAGTATTAAGAATATGCCTCCAAACAAGCTAATGAAAAAATGTGACATTGGACGTTGATGTTAAGTTTTTTATTATTCTTGTATATTTATTTTAGGCGGAGGCGGTTACGGTGGAGGCGGCGGCTACGGCGGCGGTCACGGAGGCGGTGGCGGAGGCGGCCAAATCGTAAAAATAATCAAAATCCTCGTGCCTAGCGGAGGCGGCGGCGGTGGATATGGAGGCGGTCATGGAGGCGGATACGGAGGTGGCGGCGGCGGCGGATGGAAGAGCGGTGGAGGCGGAGGCGGATGGAAAAGCAGCGGTGGATGGAGCAGCGGAGGCGGAGGCGGTTACGGAGGCGGCGGCGGCAGCGGATGGATCAGCAGCGGAGGCGGTGGCGGATGGAAGTCAGGTAAGAAAAATATACTCATTATTCTGGGGTTCTGCCAGTAATTACTGGCATATGCCAGGACTGAGGGGACTTGGCAGTAATATTGCCAGAAATATCAACAGTTTTCAACTTCTTTTAATTTTTGTATCGCCGAGCAGAGCCGACCACGGACAACGTTGGTAGTCTGTCTTCCCTTTCTTCTCACTTATTCTACGATGTGCTTCTTCTGTCTGTTTTTCTTTTTTCGCTTCACTCTTGCTGTTGTTGTCTGTGGTCGTCAGGGCAGTATTTCTGCCATTTTAACATTTCCTATTTCGTTTTCACATTTAAACGGTTGTAGAAGTAGGAGCGGATGGAATCAGTATGTTCCAGATTCCCATGAGATAAACTGTTTCCGTGTATATATATATATATATATATATAGGTGAAAAATAAAGCTTCCGCCTTTAGTTGGGCACTTCGACAAAAATTCAAGCAATAAGGATTATACTTTATTAGTCTCTAGCTTTCAATGGACTATGCCATCATCATCAGGAGCTTCACGATGTATCATGTAATAATTTTAACTTTTTTTCCAAATATTTTCAATCCGTTTTGATGTGTTCCTGACATACAGCCATGTGTATTTTATACTAATTTTAACGAATGTACCATGGATCCAGCTTTCACCAGGTTACTAGATGTTTCCCTCAACTTAACCTTTAATAACATTTAGCAACAATCTCACATACTATTGTAAGTAGTTTCAAATCATTTTGCACAATAGTTGCTATTTCTTCTTAATGTTATTGCAGCTCCTGATGATGATGGCCTAGTCCATTGAAAGCTAGAGACTAATAAAGTATAAAGTGTCCTCATTGCTTGAATTTTGTCGAAGTACCCAACTAAAGGCGGAAGCTTTATTTTTCGCCTAACTGGTCTAGACGACAATGACCACGTCTCAATATATATATATATATATATATATATATATATATATATATATCTTTTCATGTTTTTTTGGCAATCTACAGGAATTACTTTCATAAACCTCCGTCCCATCCTCCCCCATATAATGCCGGTCTAGTAGACATGGGTCGTGGTTCATATGAATACGTAGGGAAGTGCAGAAATGGTGGATCAGATGCTCATAGGCGTCGAAAAACACATCTCCACGAGTACACAAGTTAAGTGGGTAGAGAAAAAAGACAGAAACAAAGATTAAAATAAAATTCTCAAAAACTGATGATGGAACCTTAAACCACATTTAGCCAAAATCGTGGTTCATTGAAACCATAAATTGTAAATAATAACAGTTAGCGCGTGATCTCTCGGTAACAAGTGGGGACAACGCCTCTTATTGGTCAATTCGCCATTAAATTTCAAGCGGCCGCCTGGCGGAATAAGGCGCGGGGCATGGGCAAGGCAGGCAGAGTTGCACTCAGGCCACCGTCCGTCGCGTGTATCACTGCGTGCTCGTGTTTTCGTATTCACCTTGCTTGGTTGTTGCTGTTGTTGTTGTTAAGTGTATTTGAGTAATTTGTTAAGTTTCTGTTTCTGTTAAATACTGTCATCTTTGTTTTACAACACGTTGGTGGTAGTCCATCATTCGGAGGTAGCCCTGAATGCGGCACTGTACGCCGTCCACGCATCCATTCTATCTTGGGTGTGAATACACTATAGATCATCTTATTTAAATTTATTAAATTTCTTTCTTTGAGAGCTTGGGATATATTGATGCTTTTTTCTTGCTCGGTTTATATCAGTAGTACTTGCTCTGTAGGTACACGTGAAAATAGAGCAACCTTTAACGATATCAGCTGAAAATTGCTGACATTTTTTTTTAAATTTTGGCACCTTGTATGTATTGACTTGGTAGTAGTAAAGTGATTACGATACAGTTGATTAGCTCACTATATCGTAATTTAAAGTAACTGCTTGTACCTTGGGCTAGAAACATTTTAAGGTACCTATAATATATTTTTGATATTGTATTTATTTTCAATCTCGTATTTTTTAATTTCAGGTGGAGGTAGCAGCGGTTGGTGGTAAAATCGACAAAGGAAAAGAAACACCAAACCAGTCTTAAAGCGTGATTAGAAAATTTCTACACTCTGACTCTTGTGATAGCACCTCTTTTGGCAGCAAACGTATTGTAAATATTGTAAAATAACTGAATGTACAGCCCTCATGCCTCTTTTCAACTTTACAAATTTCTATTTTTCTAAATAAAAAACCTTAAAATTACTCTGCTTTTTTATTTCATTTATCGGATAATCTAAATACACCTCACGTATTATTCTATACGAAAATGTCAATTTAAAAGGCAATTAGTGGTACGAAGCTAACTAAAGTGCTCAGAATTTGAAAATGACGATATTTGCGTTTCAAGTATTGTAGTTTCAGTATCATTGGCCTTTCCTTTACTAAAACCTACACGCTTTTTTGTATATCTAGAAATTCTAAAATATACTGACATATAAATCCGAACACCCAGTTTAAATGGTTTTATTTTAATAAAAGTTGGTGAATGTATTTATCTTACTGTAAATAACAAGTGAAAAAATTTTCAGCCTTATCAGTTGGACATTCCGGATTTTATACTGCTTTTTTTTAATTCACTAACGCTCTAAAAATGAATATTTCAGCCGCAGTAAAGAATCAATGTTGGCGGATTTTGGTTCTTGACATCCTTTACGATCGGTTACGATGCCTAGAGTACGGAGACCTGTACGATTTCGTCAACTTAGTGAGTATGATAGAGGCCGTATAGTGGGACTTCGGGAAGCTGGACTTTCTTTTCGGGCAATTGCAGTTAGAGTGCAAAGAAGTGTAGACACTGTGGTTAGGTGTTGTCAGGCATGGCTTCGAGAAGGCCGTACGCAAAGAGCAAGAGGCACTGGACGCCACCGTAGAACAACAGACCGTGAAGATCGCCGCCTAAGATTATTGGCCTTAAGGGACCGTTTCTCGACTACCAGGTCCATTGCAAATAAATGGTTTGCAGAACACGGAAGACCTATTGGCATGCGAAGTGTTTACCGACGAATGAGAAGCTTTGGCTTGTTTTCATACCGGCCACACTGGGTCCTCCCTTTAACTCGAGAACACCGACGTAATCGCCTTGAGTGGTGCAGACAACGGTCACTCTGGAATCAGGATTGGAACAGTATTGTCTTTAGTGACGAGTCTTGATTTTGTTCAGGGATGCACGATGGTCGTGCCAGGGTTAGAAGGCGACGTGGTGAAAGGAGGAAGCCACAGTTTTTTGTTGAAAGACATGTTCATCACACTGTTGGAGTTATGGTTTGGGGTGCTATAGCTTATGGTTCCAGGTCACCTTTAATCTTCATCAGAGGTAACATGAACGCGCACCGTTATATCCACGAAGTTCTAGAACCCCATCTTTTACCCTATCTTGACACCCTGGCAGATCCAACTTTCCAACAAGATAATGCCCGACCACATGTTGCAAGAGTCACAATAGACTTCTTTCAACATAATGATGTCACATTGTTACCATGGCCACCAAGATCTCCCGACTTATCCCCAATTGAGCACGTGTGGGATATGATGGGTAGAAGATTGCTCAATTTGCAACGTCCTCCTCAGACTCTAGAAGCATTTCGAGAGGAGTTGGTGGTTGCCTGGAATGAGATACCACAGGAGGACATTGACCACCTGATCAGAAGCATGCCTAGGCGCTTTGGAGAATGCGTAGCACATCAGGGTGCATCAATACATTATTAAAGGTCAAAGGGCTTTAAAGCAGTGCAATCATTTTGAAATTTTTATCATTTACTTATTATGCTTCATTAAGTACTATATAATACTCCAGAAAGTAAGACGGTTTCTAATAATAAAAATTGCTTTTAGTGAATTTGGATTTAGCATTAGCAAATCAGTATGGAATATAAGAAAATTCGCATTGATCAGGCACGGATCCAGGATAATGTCTTGGGGGGTCAAGTAGTGTGGGTTGCCTACTTTCAAGGAATTTTGTGGAGTCGCTTAGGCTTATTATACAGTAATTAAGAAGGGAAATAACAATAATAAGCAGCAGTGTGAGAACAGAATGCACATTTATTTTAAGTTGTCAAACAAAAAATAATGTGGTCTCTCATTCTTTCCCGTTTCCTGATTTTTTTTGGAAGGCTGAGGCTGTGGGGGAGCGAGAAATAGCACCGTCGACTGGTATATTCTCTACTTCACGTTTCCTGACAATCTCGATGACGATATTGCTGCACAAAACTATTTTCATATCATTTATACCATCCTCCCCTTTCAACATAGACAACATCGTAATCAACATTTTGGCTAATTTCTCATTACGGTTTTCCAAATTATAAGATAAAGATTTTAGGTCTCTTGCAGCATCACATGAATTGGCAATTTAGTATTCTACCCAAAGCTACATCTGGCTATATTACTGAGCTTTATTGTAGCATTAAAGGCTCCCTTTGTTATAAACAGCTACTTAGTACCCCGCCAGAAATGAGAGTATCGATTCATTTTGTACTTGTCAACAGCTCTTATATACAGAAAAGTTCATTTGCATACAAAAAACAAAACCCTACAAGCAAGTGTTACCAATTTCATACCAGATTAACATTATTGCCAACTTCACAGATTAATTCAAAGATGTACACCTCAGTAGACGTCAAAACGTGATGGATACTGGTGAAATAGGGTTTTCACTTGTTGTCAAACACCCAAAAGTATCTATAGTCAACGCCAAACAAAGTGGCGTGCACGTCATCACGATAAAAATTCCCCGACCTAATGCCTAGGTTTCTATCACAAACAATTGCTCTATTGCAGTTTCATATTAATGTGATATATAAATTGTAAAATGGTCATTACTCTCTTATTATGGTTAATAGTCATATAAACATTGTTATTAAAATATCACATAAGTTGCTTTCTGATAAATTTAGACGCATTATGCGAAATAAAATGTTTTGCAAACGCTCAAATCACTTATCGACATGTAAACGCACTAAACCGATTTCGCAGCGTTGACACATTGTCACCTTGAAACTTATTTAAACTGGGAACTGACATTTGTATTAATTTTGACACTGAATCAATTTGTGGCATTTCAAATCTTTATAAATCCTTTGGCCCCGCATACTGTAAATCAACAACTGTTTGTTTCAAAACAAAATTATTCATTTTACGAGTAGATAAAGGCAATTTTGGTATATAAAGATGCCCAAACAGTTAAATAGTCGGTGTAAGGAACTCGTGGCCTCGTTAATGCACTACTTTGAGCAAGAAAGGGACAACAACGGGCCTTTGTTGCCTTTAAATGCTGTTCAAGAGGTAGGTTACTAATAATTATATGTAATGTATATTAATAATAGTGAAATTTTATTTCATTTTTTGTAGCGTGTTGCTGCTGCTTTAAAAATTAGTTAGTCGTATTTCCGAGGGCGTGAAAAGTGATGCAAATTTAGAATCGCCCAAGAAAAAGCGGAGTTATATTAAACGTGTAACCAACACAGCGACATTGGATACAAGTGCCATTCGAGAAGTGTATCACAAAAGTAAGATCTTATTATAATAACTTATCAGAAATTTGCATTAATTTGTTAACTAAATTATAATGTCATATTACACATGGTTTCAGAAGAACAAGTTACGATACAAACTTTATGGTCTCGATTAAGAGATAGGGCATTATTTGATGGTAGTGCCACGTCTTTAAGGCGGTTGCTTAGAGATCTTGCATTTAAGTGGCTTAAGGACAATCCGCGACTAGGGCTCATGGAACTACCAAGTATAGTTTTGAAAAGGGTGGAATTTCTAAGGCAATACAATCAAGCCAAGGTTGAGGCCTTATACCAGTTTGTCTTCCTCGATGAAACTTGCATATTTCAAAATGGGACCATAGGTCGCTCTTGGCAAAATGGAAACCAAAAAAGCGTGAAAGCTATTAAAACAGATGGTAAAAGGTATGTACTTTTACACAATTTGCACTATAAAATTTAAAACTAATATATTTTAGATACATTATATTACATGCTGGAAATGAAAATGGGTTTATTGAGGGTAGTGAAGCGATATTTTCTTCGAAAACAAAATTGAGCGATTACCATGGAGAGATGAACCAGGACAATTTTTTGAAATGGTTTCAACATCAGTTATTAGAAAAATTGGAGAGTCCATCTATGATTATACTGGATAACGCCCCTTATCACAGCATGATATTGAACAAAGTGCCCAACAATGCATGGACAAAAAAAAATATCCAAGACTGGTTGACAAATCAAAACATACCATTTTTAAACACAATGTTTAAAACAGAGCTATTGAGTATTGTTGCTCGGTACATAATGCTTCTTAATTATATATATTTTGGTCGACAGTTTATATTTCTTTTGTTTATTCCTATTCTTAAAATAACTGCTTTTTTAGAAACAAACCACCTAAAATATACGTGATTGATGAATTGGCGGAACAACATGGACACAAAGTTCTTCGTCTGCCTCCTTACCATTGTATATTTAACCTTATTGAGTTAATTTGGGGCATAGCAAAAGGTTACTATAACAGACATATTGGTAGAGATGGTAACAGTGAAAAAGACTGTTTGGATATGTGGAACGAGGCTCTACAAACGGTTACCCCAGACATGTGGAAAAATAGTGTTCGACATACTGAGCAAGAAATTTTTAAATGGTATGAAAGAGAACGAATTTTTGATCGACCAGACATCGAACCTTTAATAATCAACTTTGAGAGGGATGAAGATTCAGATTCAGACAGCGCTGAAGAAAGAAACTCCGACTAACTTTATTGTACAGAAAAAGCTTACACCAGTAGCTTACCTAATTTTAGAATGCATTTTTCTGTATGAATTCTGTAAAATAAATACCATGCATAAAATTTGGAGGACCCCATTTGGATTTTTATTCAGTACCTTTAAGCTATCAATTAAATATGGTAGTTTCATAGTGTCATCTGATCAATAATTGTCATACTTAATGATTATGCAAGTACAGATCTATAATTTTATTATACTATTATTTTTGTTCTCATTTGAGGTTAATATTGCTTATAAACCTAGATATGTAAATAATAAATTTTATTATTTTACAAAAAGTTTGGCAACAATGTAAATTTTTCAACACACCCACCTTGATGACGTGCACGCCACTTTGTTTGGCGTTGACTATACGATTGTTTTTTATCTATACACAATATTGTGAAAGCAAGTGCAGTTCAATGTTAAATGTGAAGAA